ATGGATGGATGGATGATGGATGGATAGATGAATGGATGGATGATGGATGATGGATGGATGGATGATGGATGGATAGATGAATGGATGGATGATGGGTGATAAATGGATGGATGGATGATGGATGATGGATGATGGATGGATGATGGATGGATGAATGGATGGATGATGGGGGGTAAATAGATGGATGGGTGATAGATGATGAGTGGATTGCTGATGGATGGATAGATCAATGGATAGATGGTTTATGGTTAAATGGACAGAAGATGGATTAACGGATGAATGAATGGATGGACAGACATAGCACTTATTCCAATTTTGGTATATCTGTTTGTTGAATTACTTGTTTAATCTCTGGCTGCCCTGGTAGTCTGAAAATGCCAGGAGGGCAGAGTCCTTGTGTGTGACTTGCTTCTGAATTCCCAGTGATTCTGATGCCTCGTACATAGGCACGCAAGAAGCATTTGAATGAATGAACACATTAAAGCCTGTATAAATGCACAGAAGGGTGGAAGGGTGGATGCATATAGGTATGTGTGTGTGTGCACATGGTATGGATGTGTACATGCAAAGTATCATGCCAGCTGCACTGTGGTTCCTGAATTAAAGCCCAGCCTCACTGGCTTCAGGCAGGAGGATGTGAGGGGGCAGCCCCTGCCTGAGTAGGTAGGCAGAGCCAGGGCAATTCTCCCCTCTTACTGTTTTTATGGCTGCTTTTTCTTCTCCTGTATGGAGGATTGAACCCAGCATCTTCACACTGAGCTATCCCCCCAGCCCTTTTATGAGGCAGCATCTTGCTAAGCCACTAAGTTGCCCAGGCTGGGCTCTAACTTGTGGTCCTCCTGCCTCAGCCCCCCAGAGTGCTGGGATCATGTGCACCACCACACCCAGCTATTATGGGTTCTTCTTTAAACCATGGCTGCCATGAGCCTGGGAACATGGCGCTTTGATATCAGTTCTCAAGAAGTAGATCCTGAGGCAAGGACTTGAGAAACACTGGTAGAGGAGGGGAAGTGAGGCCGAGAGAGGTTGGAAGTCAGGATCGGAGGTGAGAGTCTGCTGCCTGGGCTCTGCCCTGTTGGGTTTCACCCACAGGAGGGCGAGGGAGCTGGGGCACCTGCGCTCTCTCCCGTGGTCCCTGAGCATGGCATGGATTCCTGGCCACATGGGCAGATGGAGGGGCTCTGAGGTGGGGAGGACCCCAGGCTAGAAAGCAGGTCCGGGCGCTGGGTGGCCGGCTGGTGTGTGCAGAGGTGGGGACAGGGGCGGGTCAGCAGCCAAGACTCCCACCTCCTCCAGGCCCAAAGATGCACTCCATCCGGTTGCTGTCTTGAGTTGCTCAGAAGTGGGTGGGGCGAGGGCTCCGGGCAGACAGGAAGTCACCTCCAGTGTGAGACACGGGGGCTGCCAGAGGGGCACCTTCCCGGCACCCTTGGGAAGAAAAGTCCTGGCAGCCCAGGGAAAGTCTGTGACCCAGAACCCCCTCTGACCTTTGACCTGCGCCTGCTGGGTTTCACCTGCACCTGCAGGTGGCACTCTGTGGCAGGCTCGGTAGTAGAAACTCACCTGGGCCGTGGGGTGGGTGTGAGCTCACCGTGGTGGGTCAGCTCTCTCAGCACCTGTGTGCTGCAACACGGCCTAGGCAGCTTCTCCCAAGACCATCCTGCTCGTCCTCCCGCCTCCTGCACTCCCGTGCCCACGCTGTGGCTTTGCTCTGGGTACAGATGGGTGAGGTGGAGCTAACAGTGGCCACTGCAGCTGTCACCCCCCAGAGAGGAGGCCGTCGGTCCACAGCTCCCTGTCCCTGTGCGTGCTACGGGCACCCGGGACCTGCACCTCCTTCTCGGGGTTGCTGGGTCATCACCTGCTTTACCTTGGCCACTCTGGAAGTTTCAGCTCTGTTGATTGACATCTGTCCATCAACTCTCCCCTCCCTACCCCACCAGCGTGCTCGTGGATCCCAAGATAGGCCCAGGGTTCACGCTCCCCTCAGTGTCCTAAACCACACGTGTGCCCTACATATTCAGAGGATGAGAACCAAGATTCAGAAAGACGCCATGGCCATGGGCCAGTTAATATCAAAAGCCTTGGACTTTTTGCGTGACTTCTGCCCAATGATTCCATTTCTAGAAATTTAGTTAGGAAAGCAACCACAGATGTAAACAAAGAACCATAAAAATAATTACGTTTACAATAGCAAACAATTAGAAGCAACCTAAATATCCAAAAAGATGGCTCTGAATAAACGGTCATTGATCAATTTGACAATCTATCACACAATCAAGACAGATTAGAAGACAGCAGGACTGTAAAATATGCAGGATATGTTGTTCTAGGAAGAAAAGGGTAACAAAAGCAATGTGCGCAGTATACATGACATTCACTTTGTCTCTAACAGAATGCATATGTGGCTAGGATATAGCCCTGTAAATAGGAGGTCACCGATTCTAAAATCCGGTACTACCAGGTTGGTGTGTCAGCAAGTGCCCAAGTCATGCTCCTTCAGCTCTCCCCAGTGACATGCCCAAGGGAAAGGGGAGAGGGAGAGATCCGCCCCAGAGGGAAGGAATATTTCATCACAGCTCTCTGACATTGTTTGGAATTGCATCTGTTCTAGATAATACAAAAAAGCAGACTGGCTTTTTAGGGTTTATTTTATTTTATGTATTTATTTATGTTTTGGTACTGGGGCTCAAACTCAGGACCTTGTGCTGCCGAGGCAGGTGAGGCACCACTGAACTAAATCCCCAGCCCTATTTTGTTTTTTTAGGACAATCTCATTATGTAGCCCAGGCAGGTCCCAAACTCTCAGTGATCCTCCTGCCTCTGCATCCTGAGTGCTGGGATCACAGGTGTGTGCCACCATGCCTGGCTTTAGGGTATGATATTGTCTTTAATTCTCTATATCTACTGTCACTTTCCTTCAGGGCCACCCTCCTTCCTTGGTGTGCCACTACTCCCCCACCTCCCATGTCCATGGAATTGCCAATCCCTGGCACATCCAAGTTACCCAGAATGTCAGGCGGAAGTAATGCCTGTGTGGAGAGAAAGGAAAAGGGCAGTGAAATCTGACCACTCCCCCTCACTTCCTAGGGAGAAAAGACAAAGCCAGAGCTCCAATCCACCTACCTCAAGACCAGTTGTCATCCTCTGGCCAGCCCAGCGTGATGGTAGTGAAAGGATCCACAAACAGACCGGGGTCATCGTACAGCTCTGCATGCCCTTTGTCTCTCTGCAGAGGAAGCAGCTGCTGGTGAGTGGCCCCCGTGGTTAGTGACCTCACTTAGGGGAGCTCTCCCAACCCATGAGTCACCGAGAGGGGCCATGGTGTGAGGAAGGGCCCAGCTGAGGCACTGGGTTCTCCTCACAGGGATGGAGTTGTCCCTCACTCGGGTCGCTGGGGAAGGGTCTTTCTGCCCAGGGTGGGCTCAGGGCCCACTGTGCACGGAACTGTGCTGAGGCCACTCTGGGCCAGGCCCTGTCCTTCCTGCCTGGAGATCTGGAAATAGAGACCAAGCCCCTGCCTGGAAGTTAGGCAGGAAAGAGCCACAGAAACTGACAAAACTCTGAGCTGTAACCATGCCATGGTAGAGCGCAGCCCAGGGAATCGTGAGAAGGTGGGAGAGGGAAGCAGGAGGTGAAGCCCAGCCAGAGCTCAGACTGTGGCCTCAGCCTGTTCCTAAGTCCCTGAGCATCCACTCCTCCGGGGGTTTGATTGTGTCTGACTGCCAGGGTTGCTGCGGATCCTGTCTGCAATCGCCCTGTCTGGCCGAGACAAGGCGTGCACAGCTGCTACCCTTTTGAACCAACAGTGGGGCCAGGGGATGTCTCCCTGGAGGACAAGCTCCCGGAACACCCCTGAGAAGGCGGCACAGGAAGCGCGTGGGTTCTGGGAAGGGGGTCGGAGTAAGCTCTGGTAGGACCTGTCCAGTAGCTCTCAGGGCCTCTTGCTCAGGCCTAGAGCTCTTGGCCCAGAATAGCGTGAGCTACTATGGTGGAGCACAAGCTCCAGAGCCTCTGGGAAAAGCCCAAGCTCCTGCCCAGGCATCCGGGGCATATCCAAGTGTCTGTCACTGCACCCCATTCAACACATATCCTAACTCTTCATTTCGTAATTCTTCTAGTTTGTCTGCCTCATCAGCAAGCTTCCTGAAGGCAGGGACCACATCCATTCACCACTGCCTCCCAGCCCCTAATGCCCCTTTGAATACTGTAGGTGGCTCGTAGTCTTTGCTACTGGATAAATGTGTACTGATCAATGTCAGCAGCAAGGAGTTTAAGACTCAGTCTCACTATAAAAACTGAATGGCATGTGCTTGTTTTCTTTTTGGTATTGTGTTTTATTTTTTAAATTAAAATTTTTTGTTGTTTTCTTTATGAAAGAGGGTTTCCCTATGTATTCAGGCTGGCCTTGAACTCATGGTGATCCTCCTGACTCAGCCTCCTGAGTGCTAGGATTAAAGGTTTGAGCCACCAGGTCTGACTTTGTTTGCTAAAATAAGCACTAAAAGCTACAAACCTCTTTAAGTACTGCATTAGGGCAGCCTATGAATTTGGATATATTATCCTCATCATTCAATTAGAAATATTTTCTAATTTCCTTTATGATTTCTTCCTTGACCCATTCATTTTTATACAAGTGTGCTGTTTAATTTCTAGGATGTCTGAGAGATATTTACATCTCCTGAATGGTTATTGTTGATTTACAGCATAATTCTTTGTGGTTAGAGGACATGATTCGTTTGATTTCAATCTTTCTGGGCCTCTTTTCAAATGGAAGAACACTTGGAGATTCTTAGTGCTTTGGTTATTGGGACCAACAAAACAAAACTCAGCACGGCACTTGGACATTGTTTTCTTTGCAAGGCTGTTTTTAGCAAGAGCCTTTTTTTTTTTTTTTTTGGTACCAGGTTCAAACTCGGGACCTTGTACTAGTGAGGTGGGCGGCAGAACCACTGAGCTAAATCCCCATCCCATGGGAGGCTGTTTTTAAAACATACTCACATTCTTTTTTTCAGCATTCATTCCAGAGCCTGGAAGGGGCTGTGAACACAGTAGGAATAGGTGTTAAGCTGTGGTGGAAAACCTCATGGCAGGTTATTAAGACAGCAGGACAGGCACAGGGGTTTGTGCCTGGGTTGCAGGCACCGGGGAGGCTGTGACAGTTAGTCTTGGTCGCTGACCACATTAGATCCAGGGCACCTAGAGGGGTGATTGTTATCAAGGGCCCTGACTAGTGAGGTTTGCCCTGAGGAGCTCGTGCAGGAATTGGCTATAGGAGCTGGGGCCTCACTGGAATAACTGGGTCACCTGGGCAGAAACTTGGGAACTATGTCGGCCCCTGTGCCCTGGTGTAGGGGAACAGAGCAAACATTCAGGTCGTAGGAAAACAGCTCCAAAGCAAAACCATCACACCCGGGCACCGATGCCTCTGCGGTAGTTATGGAAGAGCCAGCTGCCAGTACAGACAGAACAGGCTGTAGAGTGTGCCGAGTGAGCACATCTCTGTGCTGCCGGTGATGGGCTGCCAGCTGATGGGTGGGTCGGGAGCCCGGAACCTTGTAGCGCGTGTTCGTTTCCATGGTGTGAACGCCCCACCAGGGGGAATGGGGAGAGAGGGCCGGCTGCTGGGAGGCAGGCACAGCGCACCAGCCGCGTGTCCACAGCCTCTCACTGGCCTCTTCTGGCTGTGCTCACCTGGGCAGCCTATTCTTTCTCCACCTTATTTCCTCTGCTATGAGTGAGACTGAAGGCAGCCTGATTCTCAGGGCCGCAGGAGCACCGAGCGCTGTGCTGTGCCCCACTGCTTCACAGACACGACATTGATCAAGAATGCCTGAGGCCGGGGACTTCTTTCCGTGGTGCCGCGCCTGCTGGAAAGCACAAGGTCTCGAGTTTGATCTCCAGTACCCCCCCCAAAAAAGAAAAAAAACGCCTTTAATCCCAGCACTCAGGAGGCTGAGGCAGGAGAATTCCCTCAAGCTGGAGACCACCTTGGCCTATATAGTGAGTTCAAGGCCAGCCTGGATGACATGGCAAGACCCTGTCTTAAAACAAAACAGGCCCATGCTAAGGTGCCAGCTAGAGAGCTCTCTTAACTTTAAGATGGAAAACAGATGACATCAAGGGAAATAGTTGCTGCCTCTGCTCCTATGACAAATTACCTCAGGGGCTTCTGCAAACTTAATGAACTTCTGGCCTCAGATCCCACCCGTGGAAAAGGAGGGCTGTGGACAGCAGAGTGGACGCGCGACAGCGCTTTCCCCATGCAGGCCCTGACCTTCGGTGCCGCCTCCCTGGGACTAGTTTCTCTCTTGCCTCTCCACCCTGGTTTGGGTGGAGCTGAGCCTTCACAGGCCCACCTGGGTGCACCCGTGACCCTGGGGCAACGCATCGGAGCACCAGGTCCCAGTGGTCAGCAGCACTGGGTGAGGACCAGATGAGGAGCCCCAGACCTGTGCTGCAGATCCCCAGCGAGGCTGCTCTCTCTCCTCGGGATGAGGACCAGACCTGGGCCATCTTGGTACCACTGGGGAAGAAAGAATCAGGGAAGGGGGAGCCAGCGCAGAACCATGGAGGGAAAGAAAGGCTCAGCTTTCTGAAGACGCTAGTGATGGATCCAGCCGTGCTTAGGGTGAACCCGTCCCCTGAACTTTTCCTTCTATGAGCTGCTCAAATTTCCTTCTGATTCAAGCCTGTTTGACTGCTTTCCTGTCCCTTGCTGCCCAGAGTCCCTGAAGGCTCGCTCCAGGTGAACTCGGAGCCCTGCGATGGCCACTGACAGCTAGCGGCTCAGTCACCTGTCACTGCCACCTCCCCTGGCATCCAGAGCCCACCTCGTCCACAGCGCCTGAAAAGCCACACAGCTGCTTTCCCAGCATCCCTCAAGGTCAGCCACAGGGTCTTCCCTGGCCAGGAAGGAAGACTGTCCCCAAATACGAAGAAGGGCCCAGGAGGAAGCGTGCTGGGCTGACCGCAGCATCTGGAATGGCAGCCACCATCTGGATCCTCAAGGAACAAAGACTAAACAAAGCCAGAGCTCAAGGGTGATACAGCAGAAAGGCAGACTGACCCTGGGTCCCACTACATCAACCCTGGAGCTTCTTATCTCTTAGCTGCATATGATGTGAGAAAAGAAAGCACTGAACTTCAGGCCACTTAGGGTGGACTTTCTGTTCCATGCAGCCTGAAGCATCATAACGAATACAAACTCCCCTGCCTCCCAATTCCAGGTCGGTGTTGAATGCTTTAGCATAGTTAGCTGTCCCTGGGCATCTGCAGGGAACTGGTTCCAGAATCCCCCACCCCACCACTCTGGGAGGCTGAGGCAGGAGGATCTGAGTCCAGCCTGGACAACTTAGCAACTTAGTGAAACTCTGTCTCCAAAGAAAAAATAAAAATAAGAAAGAAAGAAAGAAAAGAAAAGAATTCTCATGCATACCCAAATTCAGGCTGCTGAAATCCCTCATACAAAATGGAATAATATTTTGCATATAACTTATGCATACAATCCTTTCTTTCTCCCTCTCTCTTTCTCTTTCTCTCTCTCTCTCTCTCTCTCTCTCTCTCTCTTTCTTTTGCTCTGAGAAATGGAGCCCAGTGCTCTCACATGCTAGGCAAACACTACCACTGAGCTACACCCCCAGCCCAACCTGTATACTTTAAATCACTTCTAGATTATTTATGATATCCCAAGCAATGTAAATGCTATATAAATAGTCGGTATCCTTTATGTTTAGAGAACAGAGACAAGAAAAAAGTCCATGCATGTTCAGTACAGATGCAATATTTCCTAATGTTTTTGATCACTGCAGAGAATTCTGAGTGTCTGCAGAACACAGTGTGCATTTTGGTGCCCTTTGTGAAGGGCATCGCAGGAGATCTTGTGCAGTGCCCTGGACGCGTGGTCCTGGCAGCAGAGACTCCTTGCCTGTGACCATGACACTTCCCATCTCCAAGCTCAAGTTGGAGAAGGCACTCCTCACCAACACAGTGACCAGAAAGGTGCCTGCAACTCGAAGGCCAAAGGCGCAGCTATGGTGTCGTCATGACAATTGTCCCTGCATGGCTGGTCCAGTCCACGCAGAAGATAGAACATAAAGCTTTCACTCTCCCAACTTTGAGTGCACACCTGCTGTACACCAGGCACAGGGCAAGTCCTGGGGACACAGAAGTGGAGTCTCTGTCCCCCAAGCACCTTATTGTTAAGGAGAAACATGGACAGGAAGTGCCACGTCATGATAGGAGCTGGCACAGGGGCACTGTGGGCATGGCATGGGGTCATCTCAACCTCAGAAGGGAAAGAAATGATTCATAGGATGCAATGAGGGCTGGAGCTGAACATGGAAGGACAAGTAGGTGCTTGTTACTGGCTGGCTGATGGGAGGCACTGCTCGGTCTCGGGAGCCCTAGAAGTGGCTTCAAGCATCTGCTGGGCTGAGAGGCCAGGCCAGCAAGGCCTAGCCAGCACCTCCACATGCAAATGCCCCTGACCTAGCCCCATCCATTCCCTCCCTCCAGCCCCTGCTCCCCCAGAGTCACCCAAATCTGCTGGTCTTAGGGAGAGAAGTCTATTAATCACCCAAGAGTGAGTACGAAAGTCCCGGAACATGCGCACTTTTGTCCATCAGTAAGGGCTAAGCTTCCCCCACTGGAACTCTCATGGGGGTGGTGGGGCAGAGCCCCCAGACAGGTGGCTCACAGCACTGTGCTGCCTGTGTTCCAGTTTCCACAGACTCTGGATTCTGCCTGCTCCAAGCTGACCTTTGTTACTTGGCAAAGTTGCAGTGGTTTTCTCTAGTTTATGGTCCCTGCTGCTGTCTCTTGTCAGGTCCCTGGCTGAGTATCACCCCTTTCCTGGCACAGCTCTGAGATCAGCAGGAGCTGCAGGGAGGGTTTTGGGAGGGCAGGGACTCTCGCCACTTCCTGTCTGCTGAGCTCATCACACTGCCCTTCAGAGCTCCCAGCCCCTTCTGATTAAAAGCAGGTGTGTGCTGTGCCCTCCCCTGGTTGGTGCTCGCCCATCTATCCTCACCCAGCATCATCCTGACTCTTCCTTTCCTGTCCCCTCTCCACCACCTTTCAGTTTGACTCCCCACCGCCCCCTCCCACTGCATGGACTGTAGTTTCCCCTCCAACATCCCTGACAAAGAGTGTCCAGTGCCACACATCAGAAGTGCCAAAGCTGAGAAGCCCTGCAGCTTGGTGACCTTACTTGGAGACCCAGGACACACTGGCAGGACCCAGGGCACCAATCAGAAAGGGAAGAGGAGGGAGGGTTGGAAGGGCAGCTACCAACCCCAAGTACCTTCAACGGGAAGTGCCACCTGGTGAGTCCCAGATGGCTCCCTGAAGCTCTCTTCCTCATGGGAGAAGCTGGCATTGAGTCCTGTCACCTCAAAGGTCAGCCCCTCCAGGGTGCCATGAGCCACGGAGTTGTTGGTCAACAGGTCCTGTCCAAGCTCCACTTGGGTAGAACCCCAGGAGGCCTGCAGCCCCGACAGTTGCTCCACCAGCTGGATAGAGAGGTTCTGGGAGGGCGCAGAGCTGGAGCTGTTGCTTCGGGCATGGATCTCCAGGCATTGCCGCCCAGGGCCCAGCAGGTCCTGAGTGTCTCCATCCAGGGTCAGGTTGTAGGGCAGAGCGCCCCACTGGAGTCCTGGTGGTGGACTCAGCCAGGGTTATGTTACCCAAGAGCACAGTGTAAGTCACCCCTGTTCCTGGGTGGGCTAAGAGGAATGGAAGAACGTTGTGACAGTCATGCAGTTGGTTGTCCTGTGATGGTCCAGACTCAAGTTCTGATGTCACATAGACATAAATACAGATATAAAGAAATGCAAGGATAGATCACCACCGCAACCCACCCCTCTGCGTTAACACTGATGATCCCTGAGTTTTGAGTTAAGAAGTGATTTTTTTTCCTTTTTGTGTCCTCTCTGCCCATTTACATATTCTAATTTATTTACATATACCATGAATGCGTTACCCTTGGGCCTAGCAGTTTTGGGTTTCTGTGGTGTGTGTGTGTGTGTGTGTGTGTGTGTGTGTGTGTTTCCCCCACTGGGATTGAACCCAGGCCCTTCGCATAAAGCTACATCCCTAGCCCTTTATTTTATTTTATTTTGAGACTGAGTCTCACTAAGTCACTAAGTTGCCCAGGCTGGCCTGGAACTTGTGATCCTCGGCCTTGACCTCCTAAGTTCTGGGATTACAGCTGGACCTAAAAGTTTTTAACAGAAAACACTAGAGCATTTTGTTAATAGTGATACCCTTGTGGGAGGCAGCAGAGAAAGCAGCATCTGTGAGGGGTGGGCTGATTTGTACGCATGGAAAGGAGCCTCCAGGCTTGTTTAGGGCAGGAGCTGGGCATTTCCTTCTGCCTCCCCCAACAACTGCCCAGACCTGCCCTCAAGGGACAGCCTGTGCTCCAAAGGGGGAGGCTTGCTTCCAGTTCGAAGATGGTTGTCCCAACGGGGTGCTGAATATTGTGGTTGCCTCTTAGTCTGATTTACACCAAAAGATTAGGATTCTTTTCAGTAGAGGCCAAGCTACTGTTTTATTTGATGATGGTGACAATGATGGTGGTGGTGATGTTGGTAACGTAAGCCCCAGGAGAACACGGTCCCTACCTTTCATGTTTACTGTTACGTGCCCTGCACCTGGCCGAGAGTTGGTGCTCAGTTATATTTGTAGAATAAATAAATACAGGAAGGGTTATTTTAAATTTCCCCAAGAGCACCAACAAGCCGACAAGAACAGAAAAGACCCCTATGAGCCCTGTGTCAAAGCCCATCATAATGCCATTACAATAGTCCAAGAGCAAGGCTCTAGGTGGTCAGCAAGGTCCAGCTGATCCACTTCCTTACTTCCACAGCCCTAGCTACCCTGGTTACATCAACAGGCCCCATCCAGATCTCAGACTGGATCTGTGGCTCATCAAAGGATGCTGCCTTGGCTAAGGACACGTTGTAGCCAAGAAGGTCTCTGTTGGGAGGAGGGATGATATTTAAAATAGTACATGAAATTGTGTGAGCACCAACCAATTAGAATAGATCTCTCTGAGGAATCAGGTGGACACTCTGGCCAATCAAAATGAATTCTGTGACAAATTAGTATGGATGCCATGACCAATCAAAATGAGTGCTGTGACCAATCAGAAAAGAGGCCATAACCAATCAGAATGGACACCTGAACCATTCAAAATAGATACAATAACCAATCAGAATGCCCCTGTGACCAATTAGAAATGACACTGTGACCAATCAGAATAGACCCTGTTCATAATAGCTGGTATGGGAGAAAGAGTGTGTACAGCTGAACATTAGCCCTGACTGAGAGCAACATGGCTGTGTCAAGCTGATGTATGCTCCCTGGGCCCTACCTCATCCTATTCAAATTCTCCCAACAGGCGGTGGTGTGGAAGTTCTTGAGATGGGACTGTGAGCATCCAAAGCAGGGCTTAGAGAGTCTGGGAGCTCCCACTGGCTTGCTGGTCATGTGGCTTAGGGGACTTTTCTGAACCTTTCTGTGCCACCATTTCTTTATCCATAATGTGGAGACAGTGCTAGTGTGTACTGAGTGAGCTAGCATAGGAAAAGCACTTAGAATAGTGTGTGGCACACAGAGGTGCTAAAGAAATGATAGCTTGAAACCAATTTGGGCCAAGGGAAGTGGTGCTCTGCATGTCATCCCAGCACTTGGGAGGCTGAAGCAGGAGGATCACCATGAGTTCAAGGCCAGCCTGGGGTAGGTAATGAGTTCAAGGCCAGCCTGAACTGCATAGCAAGACTTTGTCTCAAATGAAACAAAACAAAAAATAACTAACTCAATGCATGATCAGTGTTATTAATTATTAAATCTTGGGCATTAGCTGGATAGACTTGAGGAAATGAAGGACTCCACAGTTTGTCTCCACCTGCCAGATTCTGCAAACTCACCTGCATCAAGCTCCACCTGAATCCACAGAAGGTCCCCAAAGACAACCCTGCAGAGAGGGCCAGCTTCTGAGCTGGACAGGTGGGGGCACCCAGTGACGCTGAGCCTCTCCATCTTGTCTAGTAGCATCACTTGCTTCTGAGCTGTCACATGCCACTCACTGCTTGTGCACTCAGCAAACACAGTGAATTCTCCGGGGCACACGAACTGGTGCCTCACGGTGCTGGACAAGCTGCTGGGCACAGCTGGAATCATTAGGCTCCCTGGGGATGCCTGAGCACACATGTTCACACCTGCATTCACACTGCCCCTGCTCTGCAAAGATTAAAGATGAAGAGAAGATGCTGCCTGCCCACGCCCTGCTCTCAGCACTGGGGGAGCTTCCGATGAGACGTCTCAGAGCAGAAGAGGGGTAGAAAGAGCTCTGATCAGGAAGGGCAGTGGGTGTCAGCTGCAAGTCCCTGCTCTGCTACTTTCTCCTTTGTGGCTCACAAGAAAACCTCTCTCTGTTCCCTGCTCATCTGTGAAATACTGTACCTCAGACCACCTCTCTCTGCCTAATGTCCCCATCTGTAAGATGGAATCCAGTTCTAGACATACAAAGTTTTATTTTTAATTATTTGGTTTTTTGAGCCAGAGTTTCACTATGTATTCCAGGCTATCCTTGATCTCACTATGTAGCCCAGGCTGGCCTTGAACTTATGGCGATCCTCCTGCCTCGGCCTTCCTAATGCTGGCATTACAGGTGTGCACCACCACACCCAGCTCATTTTGTTTTGCAGTCTCCTTTGTCTCTTAGCTTTGACCCAAGGATAGCCCAAATCATGAGATGTTCAGTGGGTAAAGAGAGCAGAAATCCCAGGAGAAGGCCCATCTGTGCAGGGAGAAAGGGGGACCTGGTAGCCTGAGAGGACAAGGGGAGGCTCCGTTTTGCTGTGTTTCTCTTGTTCCTCTCCTGGCCTTGACCCAAGCTGTCCCCTCTCCCAGAGCTGCACTGGAAGACAGGATGATGCAGACACTTCCATCCCCAAGAGAGAGCCCATCTTTCTGTCCAGGGCAGCCACAAAGAGGGAACTCTTGTCGGAAAATGCACAGAGGAGTGCTGTAGAGAAAAGGATTCTCTGTGAATCAGTGCGAACCATGAGCTCCTCCCCAAGCACACACATGCAGCACAGACCCCTGGCAACAGCTCAGGCTTTGGGAGCTGAGTGACAGCACTCAAGCTGTGTGAACCTGAGCCACGCCCAGAGTGCTGCCTGCGTGGTGATAGCCCCTCTGAAAACCAAACCAACATGGAAGGCAAGTCAGATGTGTGCTCTGGACCTACCTGGCTGGCTGCATGTTCACAGAGATATGTTTAAAGATCAGGCCCAGAATCTCAGAACATTCTCTTCAGATCATTCAGAACACAATCCAAAACTACTTGACACACTGAGAACCGGGAAAGTAGGATCAGACTTCCAGGGAACATGTGACCGGTAGGTGGTCAGCCCTGAGATATGAGATGATGGCATCAGCAGAGGAAGACTGTAAGGTAATTGTCACGTGGTGTCAACTTGACTTGAGTAACTAAACTGCCCAGGAGATTGTAAGCCCTGGGTGTTCGGTGGATGACTGACAGGTAGGGCAGCAAACTGAGCAAGGAAGACACATCCTGGATGAGGGTGGCACCAACCAATACATTTGTAGCTTGGACAGAATGAAAAGGGAGAGAAGAAAGTGTCTTCCTTTTTTGGAGGAGCTCTGGTCCTCTCCATTGGCTGTGGACATTGGTCTCCAGTTCCTTCAGCTTTCCAGTGCAGACCCTTCAGTCTCCCAACATGGATTCTTCAGCCTTCTGACACAGACTCCCACTGATGACTCTACCGTGAGCTTCCAGGTCTTCAACCTTCCAGTGCTCCTGGATCCTCTGGCTCTTCAGGGCAGACACCCATTGTGGTTTCTTCCACCTCTGATCCTGCAGGTGCCCAATGAGACTTTTCTGCCTTGGAGCCTGTAATCCTACCTAATGAATCCCTTTGTTTAGTTTTACACATTTTATATTGGCTCCATTTTTCTATAGAACCCTTGCTGCTACAATGAGATAAAGGCAAACCCTTACCAAACGAGTAATAAAACAGACATTTTCAGCAGAGAAACAAACTATAAAAAAGACCAGATGGAATTTTTAGAAAGGAAAAGCAATAACTGAAATAAAACATTCACTAGGTGGGTTCAATAGTAGAATAGAGATGAAATAGAGAAAAGTCAGTGAACTTGAAGATATATCAAGATAAATGATCCTATCTAAAGAACAGAAAAATCGTTAATATTTTTAAATGGCAAAGGGTGTCAGGTAACTGTACAGCAAAAAAAAAAAAAAATCAAAAAAATCTATCCTTTGTGTCACTGGAGCACCAGAGAGGGAGAAAAGATTGGAGTAGAAAAATGTAATTTGAAGAAATAGTGGGAGGAAACTTTTCAACTTTGATAAAAGACATATATGTCCAGATTTAAGAAGTTCAGTGAGCCCAAAACATGGAAAAAATTTAAAGAAAATCTATAATAATCAAACTGCTAAAAACACAAGGCAGGGGGGAAAATCTTGAAAATAGTGGGACACTCCCCATCCCTTAAAAGGCATGTTACAGGAATTTGAGTGACTTTAAGTTTCCCATCAGAAGCCATGGAGATTGGAAGACAGTTAAACAACATTTTTAAACAGCTGAAAGAATAGAACTGTCCACACAGAATTCTATATCCAGCAAAAATATCCCTTTTAGGAAATAAGACAAAATGAGATATCCTCAGGAAAATGAAGATAATTTGTTGCTAGAAAATCTATGGCAAAAAAAACTAATAGAAGTACTTTCAGCTGAAGGGAAATAATACCAGAGTATCTGGAACCTCAACAATGGAGAAAGAGCACAAAAAATGGTGAATATCTGGGTAAATGTTTAGACTATTTTTCTTCTCCCAAATTCTTTCAAACACATGGCTATTGAGCAGCATTTTCAGAGCACAAACAGTAACAGCTGTAATTTAAAGGAGGGTGGGTAGAGGGGCCTATATGTTGGTAAAGCTTCAGTATTTGACCTGAAGTGGTAAAGAGTCAACTCTGAGTAAATTGTGAAAGGTTAGGTATGTATGTATAGTCTAAGCCCCGAGCAACCACTAAAGAGTAATGCAAAGAGATCTAGCCAAAAGCCAATAGATAAGTTAGGACGGAATGCTAAAAATAGTTAAATAACCCAAAAGAAGTCAGGAGAGGTGAGCAGAGGAAAAAAAACAGAGGGGGCAAACAAAAAATAAAAAATTATATTAGCCATTATATTAATTGTTAATGGTCTGAACACATCAATGGTTATGCCGATTAAATCTTTAAAAACCAAGACCCAACTGTATACTGCCTTTGAGAAGTCCACTTTAAGCATAATGACATAACTAGATTAAAATAAAAGGATGCGAGGTAGAACAGCAAACACTTAATATCAGAAATGCAGATTTAAGAACAAGGAAACAGTAACTCTCTATGGAAATGAAAGGATATTTTGAATAGCAAAAGCCAGTCTGTCTTTCAGTGATCTCTCTGGAAGAAATAGTTTGTTCCATTCTTGAACTCTGATGTCAACCGGAATTGCCCAGTACTAAAAGGCAGAGAAATAAATCTTTCCTGATTTTTCTCCCAGAGATCTCACCCAAAGGAGGAGACTGCAAGGTGGTTTTAGAAACTGCTTCCAGCACAGGGAGAGGTGCTCAGAACATAAAGAAATAGAGACAACGTAAAAATTCACACTATGAATTTATGACCCAGCCATTCCCATCTTACATATAAACCTGATAGGAACATGTACATTTATGTGCCAAGACATACTAGAATGTTCGTGGCAGCACAGTTTGTCATAGCCAAAAATGAGACACCATCCAAATGCTTATCGACTCGATTAGTCAGCTTTCCCACAACACCTGATACCCACAATTTAAAGGTGGAAAGATTTGATTTAGTTCATGGTTTCAGGAGATTCAGTCCATGGTCTGCTGGCTCCATGGCAGGAACATTATGGCGGAAGGGTGTGGCAGAGCAAAGCTGCTTAGTTCATGGTGTCTGGAAGCAGAACAGGGGAACAGTGCCAGAGAGTAATGGGCCAGAGACCAGATATAGTCCCCAAGGTCACACCTATATGACCCTGCTGGACATAACCAAGAGTATGCTTTACTAATCTGCCAGGCTTTCTTAATGCAGTGAAGTTGACAAGTCAGGATTTATGGTCACACTGACACTAGAATGGATAAGTAAACTGGTGCTCATTCACAAAATAGAATGTTATACAGCAATGAGAAAATTATACACAATATCCATTAATCCTAAAAGTAATGTGTAGTAGAAGCCAGACACAAAGAATATATGCTTTATGACTCCATTTGGATAAATCTCAAATACAGGTTACACTCACCTATGATGTTAGGAAATTAGGATAGTGCTTATCCTTGTGGTAGGAAGCTGGGAGGGGACTGAGAGGGATTTGGGGGAAGCAGGTTATGTTTGTTTCTTTGCTTTGCTTTGCCTTGACTCATTCTCTCTCTCTCTCTCTTTCTCTTGTCTCTATCTTTCTTTTGTGACACTCTTACTGTGTAGCTCAGGCTGAACTTGAACTCATGGTGATCCTCCTACCTTAGCCTCCTGAATGTTGGGATTACAGACACGAGCCTCTGTGGCTGGCCATGTTTGTTTCTTGATCAGGGTGCTGGTTACATGTGTGTATTCATTGTGTAAAAATGAATCAGGTGTTTCTTTGTATGCATTTTTCTGTACATATGTTGTACTTCAATAAAAAGTTGGAAAATTAGTTGGAAACCCCATTGCTCTCTGGTTTGCATTCACTGCTGGAATATTTGCCTTTAATGGGATGCAACTTTTCCTTGAAAAGAAAGTGGAGAAGAAAGCTCACATTTCTGTTCTTTGCTCATAACGTCCGACTTTGATAGTGTCATAGTCTGTCATTTTGCTATGTCACCGACAAGGCATCAACTAGGTTGGCGGACAAAGCCACCTGACCAAGTCAGGAACTGTGGTGGAGGGGAAAGGTGGGTAACCAGAAATGTGTCATCCCAGGGGCCCACCGGGTACCTGCATGACCTCAGCTGAGCTCCTGAGCCTCCCTTCACTGGTCCACAGAATGAGCACAGACCATGCTCAGCTGGATTGTTATAAAGTTTAAAGGAGAAAATGACTGAAAAGTATCTGGCGTGTGATAACCCAAATACTGCAGCTTTCTGTATAATAGGGTACCATTGTGTGCCATCTAGCCTACTAAGACAAAAGCATTATGCACTTTTAGGTAATAATATAATAGGAAGAGCTGCCCATTTTTTAGAATCATCTCTGCTAGTTGTTCTCTTCTTTATAGTGTTGTATATTCCTTAAAATCATTCAGTGAGTCCTAGCAACACTGGTAATAATTAACTGTATGGATTGCACCATTCCCAGGCCTAAAATGTTTTCCTTTCTCCTTGGTAGTGGATGCTGTGATATGGTGCAAGGCCAGACACCATCCTTCCAGACCAAGGCACATGTCCCTGCATCCCCAAGAAGCCCCTTGATTGCTGGGACCTGCCTCACCCAAGGCAACAGCCCTCTCTGGGACACCGTGCAGACAAAACCGTGCAAGGTCCCTGCGGCCACCCAGCCCCTGTTGCTACGCTTCCCAGTCTGACTTGCCTCTCTCTCCTCCATCTGACTCCCCAGCGCCCCGCATTCTGAATCAGTCTTCTTTTTTCCCCCCTGCATCTGCAGCTCCTGCCTTGTAATTCCCCTTGTAATTCCGTCCCTCTCCAAAGGATTTCAGCTGGGGAGTCACCTTCCATCTCCTTCCTTTGTGCCTCCCAGTGGCTGGTGAACATCTAGGTCACCCTAAGGCTTCTGTTGTGTTGTGACAGTTAGAGAGAAGGACAGTTTCCCAACAAGTCCCCACCTTTAAAACAGCTGCGGCCCAGGCAGTTCTGGACAGAAACGGTGTCCATTCTCAGATCTGCCGGTAGGTGGCGCTTAGTTACTCAACTCGGGATTTAGTCCTGTTTCACCTTGTGTAAATTGTCCCATAGGCCCCTAGTGCAGTCTCAGAAGTGCAGGTTTTTCACCGCAGAGGAGCAAAGCAGCCCACCGTGCAAACGAACACGAGGCATAGAGAATGCAAGGCGAGATGCAGCTCCTAAAGGAAAATCCTCCTACTTGGGTCCAGCTGCACTTGAGTTTGGAGCCTGCCTCTCGGCTCGAGGATGTACCAACAATAGATCTAAAGGGACTGATTTTTATTTTTTTGAGACAGGGTCTTGCTATGCATTTCAGGCTGGCCTTGAACTCTCTACGGAGCCCAGGCTGTAATCGAACTCACAGCAATCCTCCTGCCTCAGCCTCCTGAGTGCTGGGACTACAGGCATGTGCTACCACACCCAGCAGGAGGGTCCAACTTTAAAATCTCTAGCCCTTTGGCTAAGGAAGAGTTAAGCAAAGGTAGACGTCTGTACACATGAAAAGCACCATGTCATTTGCTTCTGTTTACTTAGAATCCCCTTTCCACATTATAGCTGGAGTGTGGGGGCTGCAAGCACTGATAAGAAAGCAGCAGAAACAGCTCCCCACGTCCATCACAGTGGTGGAAGAAGCCAGGTGCATGGCTTCAAGGTCCATTGAGTCCTTAAAGTAGAAACTGGATGACTTGGGTGGGTGATGGTGGAGGAGGTGCACCATCTTTTAAAACAGAAAAAATTCTAGTGGCTCTTGCTCAGGGCAAACACACAGAAAGAGCGAATGTAAAGCACTGTTTATTGTTTCTCTCAGAGTTTAATCAAATAGAAAACTCCACAGTGTAGTATGACAAACAGCCCATCTGGAATGGACAGAGTTTAGCATCTCATGCTGTCGGCTTCTGTGTGAAAGCATGGTTTATTTATCAATGTAAAGTCCTCCTGTAACTAAAGCTCTTAGCAGGCTGCACAACCATCAGTTTCGACTGTGCCAAACTCAGGTAGTACAGAATGAAGGGGAGGAGCTGAAGGATTGTATAACTTAGCACCCATTGATGTCTTTATAAAATGGTAGCAGACAAAAATCCTATAGAAAATGTCGTGGGTATTTGTATCACCCCACCACCACCACCACCACCACCACCAAAGCATCATCACATTTTACCACGTGAAACAGTCAAGGCAGCCATCAATGTAAATGACAGGGGAAGAAGTGGAAACCCAGCAAGACCAGGGGCGGCTGCAGGGTCTCTGTCTCACAGCAGCAGCTGGGGTAGGACCCACGTGACAGCCCATTCTATTTGGTGTTGTGGCACTCTGCCTGTGGAACATATGTGACTCATACTGCATTCTCACTGGTCGGTGCTGTGCTGGGTAATGACGCTCTTGTTTTTACAGACAAGGTAGTTGAGGCTCAGAGAGGCACAGCAGCAGTGCCTGAAGCACAAAGCTAGGCAGTGGCAGACGGTGATGCAAACTAGGACTGCCTGGCACTGGAGCTCAGGCCCTGGGGCTCAGGTGAAGACAGAACTTCAGACAGACAGTCTGATGACCCTGTGCTTGGTGCTCACTGGGGAGCAGTTAGCTCTTCACCGTGACAGGAAGAAGCTAACCCTGATGAATAGCATTTTGATCTCACTGCTAGGACCTCTGCCGCTGGCCAGCCTGTGGGTGAGGAAGGGCCTATGCCCCCAGCTGCCATCCAAAAGACCACCGTGCATGTGAGTCAGCGGGGCCTTCCTTGGCCAGCCCACACCAGTAGTCAGCCCAGACAGGAAACGTCACCAGCCCTCCCAAGAACCGTGAGAACTAAGAAATACTGTTTAAACCACTGCACTGTGGGGTGGCTTGTTATGCAGCAAAACTGTCCCATATAACCTGACTTAAGGCCAGAGACTCCTCTTACCTGGAGGGGTAGTAGGGATCAAGGGTGTGGCCATCTCCCATACTAAGGATGCAGGACAGGTTTCCAGAGTAGGGAGAAAGGAGCCATGTCAGAGAGATGGTGACATTGTCAAAGATGAAGCTCTCGTTGGACACCAGCAGCCACAGCTCTGCAGATCCAAATACAAGATGCTGTGTGCCCTCGTGACACAAAGTGGTGCATTTCTGCTTAAAACTTACTCTCTTCTATCCTGCTAACCATTATTTGGTGAATGGATTTAAAGGGGTTTTTTGGTACTGGAGATCGAACTCAGGACCTTGAGCTTTCGAGACAGACAGCAGCACCACTGAGCTAAATCTCTGGCTAAAGTTTGTTTTTTTTAATTTTATTTTTGTTGTTTTTGAGACAGGGTCTCATTATGTACTCCAGGATAGCTTTGAACTAACTATGTAGCCCAGACTGGACTGCAACTCATTGTGATCCTCCTGTCTCAGCCTCCTAAGTGCTAGAATTACAGGCATGTGCCACCACACCCAGGTTAATTTTACTTTTTCTTTTGAAAGTTCTTTGGAATTTTATTTTCATCCGTGGGCCATACAAAACTGAGATACAGGAGCAGACATGTACAGAGAAGAGAGAGAAAAGCAAGCCTGCCCTCCCACTCACCCCTCAGCCCCAGTGCAGCTGTCCAGAGGCAGCCGTTGCTACCAGTAACCAGGTGCCCTCCAGAGACAGCCGTGCACACAAGCGTGTATGTGTGCTTTTATTTACACAAGTGGTGCCTGCTGTGTTAAGTTCAGCACCTTGCATGTTTTCATTTAGAATGTCTGTCTCGGAGGTTGCTCCATATAACTCCAGTTAGCTGTCTTGTTCTTTTTTTTCTTGGTTTTTTTTGGTACCAGGGATCGAACTTGGGACCTTGCACTTGAGAGGCAGGCGGCGGAACTACTGAGCTTAATCCCCGGCTGTCTTGTTCTTTTTAATAGCTCCATAATGTACCCTAATTTATTTAACCAGGAGTCTATTGATTGTCAAAATGTATCTTATAAGGTTTAAAAAGACAAAAGAGGACACAACTTTAAGAAAACCTACTTGGCTAACGTGGCAGGTGAATCACTGTGGCCACTTAGCACACGTTCAATTTGACGGAACTTTCAACTCTGAAGGCTGGCACGAGGTGGGCAAGGGGAGTACATTTTGCCAGGGCCTCCCTGATGGAAGGGACTTCGGGGCAGTCACAGGGTCCTGATGCACAGCCACCAGCCACCAGAGGGCACTGAGGATGCAACCGAGACTTCTGGGCCCAGCGGCCAGGTGCTCGATGACGGGTCCCTCTGCGCATGTTAGGCTGATTGTGGTCAGAACACCCAGCTCACAGGGCCCAGGATATTTGAAATCAGGGTAGGAGCAGGAAATCTGGTCCCTGTGGCTGTTGGACTCAACCCAGCCCTGTGCCGTAAGCTGCATATTTGTCAGGTGACAGCAACGCCATGGCTGATCTCCAAAGGGCACCCTTTGTCGGCTAGCAAAATCACCAAATGGAATCACTGCCAAACTATGTGGCCTGAAACCGGAGTGGAGACGTCTCACTCGCACTTCTTCTCGGCCAGGTCCATGCTGCCAACTAATGCCACCAGTCAAACAGGTCTTTGGGGCACTCCACCCTTGCTGCTCCTCACTACACTCCTGGCTCTGCTGTCCTAGATGTCTGGGGAGCTCAGCACCCCCTGACTCATCTCTTCCTTCAGAGCTCTTTGTCCCTCTGGCTTGGCCCTCAGTAGAAGTTGTTGAGTAATTCGTCAGACAATGGCGACACATGGTTTCCCAGCCTTAGGGGAAATCGCACACTCAGTCTCCATTTGAACCAAGCGTAACTGTCGCTTTGGAGGCTAATTTATGATGTCCATTAATAGTAAAGTGCATGACCCTGCGATCCTGCTCTGCAGTCAGCGAGCTCTCCTTTCAACATCACTGCCTGCATGTGCTGAGACACACGCAATGCACAATCGCTGAAGAGTGCTACGTGACAAAAGGCAACTGAAGCAACCTCGGTGGCCAGCGATGGGGGCACTTGGACATAATCTAGTGACAAAATGCAGTGCGGTCATTAGAAGAATAAAGAGGTGACTTGGAGAGATATCCAGGATATTTTACTAGCAAAGAAGAAGTAAGACTAATACGTTTCACGTGATTATATTTTTATAAAATTATGTGTGTACATTCATGTATAGCCATGTCTACGCACACATTTTACAAAGCAGAAAAGAATTTCTTCTAAATAATTGTGTTTCTTTTGGGGGACTAGGATTATCAAGTTGAAGAGGGTTTTTTTAAATTTTATAAAACTTTTATAAATTGTGGTAACGTAGGTTATTTTTATGGCTTTCAAGATTTGTAAATTTTTAAAAAGAGATCTTTTGGCTCCATCCAACTGAGCAACCTTGCTTTTGTCTGTCCTAAGCCTGGATCACCCCATACATTTAATTGGAAGGGTCCTGGGGTAAAAACCATTTGGGGCCAAGGATTTAGCTCAGTGGTTCTGCTGCCTGCCTCAAAAGCGCAAGGTCCTGGGTTCGATCACCGGTACCAAAAGAAAAGAAAAACCATCTGGGGCTCAGGTGGGTGGCAGCTGCCTCTTCCCAGGGAGAGCTGGACACAGTGTGGAAATAAGAAAATTCCCCTGCCCGAACTCACCTTCCCGGCACTGGCACTGCACCCACAGGTAGCTGCCCCAATTGGGACATAGGTCTCCAAAGTAGGTCCCGCCTGCAGCCCCTGGCACTGGCCTGGGAAGCACCCACATCCGAATGGAAGCAACAAGAGCATGCAAGACACAAAGACAAGCATTCAACAGCACATCTGGGAGGTGACTGAGAATATACGCATTACCTGCACCCACCCAGCAGTGTCTGTTGGAAATGCTGAAGACCGGGCACTGAGCTGGGCACTCAGAGGACAGGAAGGCAGGACTCCCGCCCATCAGCAGCTCAGGGGCTGGGACCCTGGATCTCAAACCTTAGCAAATGCCAGAGTCTCCAGAGGGCGTGTGAAGACTTGGAGTTCCAGACCTTCCCCTCCACGCTCTGGATTTACTGGGTCTGCATCAGGGCCAGGACTCTGCTTTTCTAACAAGTTCCCAGGGCCTGGCTCAAAACATTTGTAAGAACTGTTTGTTTCTCTGAATTGCGACATTGCGTGTGTGCGTGTGTGTGTGTGTGCGCGCACGTGTGTGTTAATGGGGATGGAACCCAGGGCCTTGCATGTTCTAGGCCTCCATCCTGCCACCTCAGCACCCACAGGATTTCTGATGGACTCCCTTCCACCTGAGCTTTGTGCTCCTTCTCCGTGTATCCACAGCGCTACTCTATAATCTCCAAAGGAGTGCGGGAGATTTTAAACATTCTGTTCACCACTGTGTCTCCAGCACACAAGACAGTGCATGGCCCATAGCAGAGGAAAAACAAGCTTCGAGTGAGTCACTCTCAGTACCTTTGGCTCCCTCCCCTGCTGCAGCATTCATCACATCGGTAGTCACAGAGCAGACACCTCGGTGTCCCCTCTGGACTTTGAGCTCTTTGAAAAACAGACAGATCTGTCCCTGAATCTACAAAGCCAGGATGGTGACTAGCACAGTACTGGGGCTCAATAAATGTTTATCGGCCAACCAAATGAATGAGTGACCCAGAGTGAGTGATCAGGACACTTAGATCTTGGGGCCCTCCCAGGTCTTCTCCTGGACCTTCCCAGTGAGTGCAGGGCTCCCCTCTTTCTCAACACTGAGGCAACAGCCTGCCCAGCCCCAGGGCACCTCGGTGAAGGAGGCTCGCAAGCCAGGGACTGCTCCTTGGAGGCCACAGCTCAGGACAGGAGCAGCCAGGAGAGTCACAGACGTCCCACGAGCTGATCCAGCCTTTCCTTCCCTACCCTGCTCCAGGGGACTGAGGGCCTCATGGGGAAAGGGCCTACGGGTGGCAGCAGGTCCTCAGCCGGGGAAGGTCACCAGGCAGAGAGTGAGGTCCAGGCTCCCAGCTGGGGCGCCTTCTGCTGTGTCCCCCCGCCCCGAGCTAAGATGTAGAGACCACCTGGCTTCCCGGGACTCCACAGCCTGGACAGTGGTCACTGCAGCAGACCAGAGAGGGCCCCTTGGGGTCCTGGACAATCAAAGGGGGTTTCTGAGGACTTGACTCCTCCCAGAGGGCTCTGGAAGCCCCAAGAGTCCCTGAGCCTGAGCCCTTGTCACTAAGGAAGTGGAGCCCAGAGCTCTCTTCTGATTAGAAAAGCAAATCTTAGGGGGACTTACATGGGGACAGGAGGCTCCACCAGGAATGAGAATGCCTGATTCATCACAGGGCAGACTGAGAAACCACCTGTTGCCTCTCAACCGGCAGAGGGAGAAATCGAGCCCAGGGATGCAACAAATGAACCGAACGAGCAATGGGCTGCACGTCTCGAAAATGACATTGAGCAAAATATAACAACAACAAGAAGAAAGGAAACTACATTGCAGAATGACACATACAGAGTGGTGCCATTCATGTAAACAGCAAAGCCTGCAAAATGGTACCACATACTGTTTAGGGAGCGGAAATAGAAGGCGGGAATAGAGAACCATAAGAGTGATTAATAAACACCAAGGTCGTGACAGGAACGGGACCAGGTTGAGGAAGCACTATGCAGGAACCTTGTGATGTGTTTGGGGTTTTTTCATGTGTGTATGTTTTTGCTTTCAATCTTTGTTTCTTTCTGGGTTTTTTTGGGTTTTTTTTGTACCGGGGATCAAACTTGGGACCTTCTGCTTGCAACGTAGGTGGCAGAACCACTGAGCTAAATCCCCGGCCCCATTTTCTGTTTTGTTTTATTCTGCAGTACTGAGGATTGAACACATGCTAGGCAAGTGACCTACCATTGAGCTACACCCCCAACCTTTTTTAACTTTTGAATTTTTAGACAAGGTCTCACTAAGTTGCCCAGCCTGGCTTTAAACTTGTGATGCTTTTGCTTTAGCCTTCTGAGTAGCTGGGATTACAGGAGCGCACCACCACACCCCAGCTGTGTGTTATTTTTTGAGAGTTAGGGTCATGCTATGCAGTTCAAGCTGGCCTTGATCTCACTATGTAGCCCAGGCTGACCTTGAACTCACAGCGATCCTCCTGCCTCAGCCTCCTGTGTGCTGGGATCACAGGTGTGTGCCACCACAGCCGGCTATATGTTCATTTTTTTTTTTTTAACAAGGTAATCTTGAGCGTTCAGATCTGACAAAGGTGAGTAGTGGCTCTGAGTTCATCATGTATTTTTATTCTTTTTTTTTTTTTGTATTTTTATTCTTGTCTGTATGTTTTAAATATTTCAGAGTTCAAACTATTAAGTTAATATGTGGGTGTTTCCTGCACTCCCACAGGCGAGGGGCACAGACGCCCCCTGTTCCAGAGGCTGTGTGACGTCAGCCACAGCCCCTGCTCCCTGGCCAGTGTCCCCACGCATCTGAACATCGTCAGCACTGTCCATGGGTCCTACCTGCCACCTCATCCCTGACGCTGACCCAACTGCAGTCCTCCTCTGGGTCCGAGGCCCACGGCGCATCCTGGCGGCAGTAATGAGGGGTCTGATGTCCATAGATAGCGTCCTGGACCTGGATGACCTCCCCGGAGCCACAGTGCATGGTGGCATTGAGGCCTTCACACGCCAGGCTCTGGCCAACCTCTGTCACAAAGGGAAGGGGACACTGGGTCAGAGCAAGATGGGCCAGTGGCTGACCGATGGCAGGGCGGGGAGCTGTGAGTTGGAGGCTGGAGAGAGAAATGAGATACGGCGATCTGGGGCATCACAGCGAGGGGTAGGGACCAAAAGGGAAAGAGCCTGGATGTTCCAGACAGTGGCCAGGTCAGAAAATGACAGAAGGGCCAAGCAGGGTGGTGCATGCCTGTAATTCCAGCACTCAGAAGGCTGAGGCAGGAGGATTGGCATAAGTTCGATGCCAGCCTGAACTGCATAGTGAGACCCTGTCTCAAAAAAAAAAAAAAAACAAAACAAGACAAAAAACAACAACAACCAAAAAGAAAGACAGGCACTTAAACAGGAAGACACAGAGCGAGGAGCCCTAATGAGACAGGGAGCCAGAGAGGGGCAGAAAGAGAAGGGAGATGTCTGAGACGGAGGAGGAGGGAGGCAGGAAGAGGCAGTCGGAGAGACGGAAGCCAAGGAGGCGGATGAGGCCGGGCCGGTGTGCTGCGCCAGGCCAGACAGGAGACAGTGGGGGGGGGAGGCGGGGCCAGCTCACCGAACTGGCAGATGAAGGCGAAGGCCTGGGCGCAGCGGTCTGTGGCTTCCCACTCGGCGGAGCAGCCTCTCCTGATGTAGCCGCATGCGTGGCCAGCGGGACCCGCCTGTCGTGGCTGCCAGTTGCTGAAGCTCACATTGCAGGTGTCCAACCAGGTCCCGGGGCCTGGGATGGGGACAGACCACCAGGACTCGGCAGGAGTCCTCATAGCCTCCTTTCTGGGAGGGCTGGCTGGGCTCAGCACCTAGGATGGCGCCGGTGCTCGGTCAGTGGGCAGGGGTGAAGGCACAGGCCCCATACCAGCGGAGGTGTATGAAACCCTTGCCCCTGGCTTCAAATTCTCAGGGTGTATGGTCTGGGACCCCCCATAGGGGAGCCCTTAAAAGGTGGCTCGACACAGTCATGCTATTGCTGGCTCTGCTCCACCTGAGGTGAGAGAGAGCCGAGTGTGCCAGGAGGTCACAGGTATACCACTGCAAGAGGGCCCGGCCAGGTGTTCTCACTTATCAGCTCTGGAGCTTCCTTTAGAGGAGACACCAGTTTCTATGGCAAACAGCGAGTCCAGGGCTGCACCCGGATAAAGACCATCACTTCCCAGTGGACAGAGAGTGTTGCTCTCGCGTCACTTCCTGCAGCCGTGCCTACCACAGGCCATTAGAAACAAGTTTCCTCAAGACCTAGTCCATCCTGCATAATCTCCTTCATTCCTTTTTTTAGGTACTGGGGATCAAACTTGGGTCCTTGCACTTGCAGGGCAGGCATTGGAATCACTGAGCTAAATTCCCGGCCCCTCCCTTCATTCTTGACCAACTGCATTTGTCGACTTTGCTCAGCAGAGATCTCTGGGATTGGAATATACTGGAACTCATGTCTTTCCCAGGTCGCTTGGCCCCTTCAAAGTTGCTGATGGGAGACATCTAGGACAATACCGACACCAGGTTTTCACTAGCTCCTCATACTTCTGTTTCTGAGGTAACCAGTATAACTTTGAAAGGCTCATCTTGAAAGAGAGCCTAGACTTGTTTTCTAAGTATTCTCCCCTTTTCTGATAACTTGCAGGAGGACAAGGTTGGTGTATTCACAGGGCTTCTGACAGTTGGAAGATGAGCCCTTGGACAGGGAAAGACTGGAACATAGCTCACCCTCTGCCTGAGATTCACACAGCCCTCCGTCAATGCCAGTGGGTGAGGCCCTTCTGCCAAGTTTTCCTGAGCCTCCCCCATCCCACACAACACAAGCGCTACTCCATTTCTACTTATCCCAATGTCGTGACAACTGCTTCTTTCTTTTCTGCTCAATGCCACTTTGTCGTCCTTGTGATTCATGATCACTATTCAATTCTATCATTGTTCCTGTTCCTGCTTCTTAGAATCTCTTCTCATGAATGCTTCAGTATTCAATGAATAAATCAACTTTTTTAAGTGGGCCCCAAAGACTCAAAGATTATAATTATTACCTTCAGAAAGAACATAAATCCACGCTAACATTTTCAAAATGTCAAACATTATGAAAAGGTGCAAAATTAAAACACCTTCTTTCTCCCATCTGTGGATTGTTCCCATTACTAAGTTTCTTGTAAGTCCTTCCAGGCTGACCTGTACCTACGTATCAGCATTTATGAATACCTGAAATCTATTTACACGCATGCTATCATATTGCTCATGGTACCCTGGCCCTTGCTTCTTCATCAACATTGTCTTGCAGGGTGCTACCTAACAGCCTAACCCTAACCCTAACAGCATAAACCTAACAGCCTAACCCGAATGCTAACAACCACATGATATACCTTGGGAGATCTTACTAGATGCAGATCCTTAGCTGCATATGAATGGTTCAAATACACAGAAATCCACAACTGTCACATCTTCAAGTCAAGAAAATTTCAACAGACATTGCTTGGAGAAACATCTTAAAAACTTGAGCCCCCTTGGCTGTGAGTTGCCTGAAATGATCTTCCCCAACTGCTGGCTTTTTAAGACATTTCCATGTACCCCCGTATATTTCTGTGAGTGCTCAGCTCAGACCAAGCTACTCATTTCTGAGCCCAGTAGCTTCTACAGGAGCTAGGAGGACCCCGGACACATATGTTATGCAGCAGGAGAAGGCAGGCTTGGGAGTTGCTTAAAACCTCCCTGCTACACGTTCCCATGCTATCTTGGATGAGCCCATTCCTCTCTGCATTGTCCTCACTTGCAAAATAAGCAATGCCATGCCTACCTCGTTAGTATCAGGATTAAATACCAATGTAGCATTCCTTCCCTTGAAGAGCAGATAGTCTATTTCAGCCATGCCCAAAGCACTGTCTCAGAGGAGTGGACAGGGCCCCACAGGGGCACAGAAGGATGCTTCTGACTGCTAGGGTGCAGAGGGAGCCCTCGAAGAGCACAGAGGAAGGCAGAGTTTCCAGGAGGACCGTAAAGGCAGTATCTGATGTGAAAGGCATTGTGCTAACCTGACCTGGTTTAATCTCATAGCAACTGGGGAAGGATGTGTAAGTCGTTATTTCCTGAAACTGCTTTCTTATTCTCAAAGTGAGGACAACAGTAAGAAATTTCTCATTGCTTGTTCTAAAGATCAATGTGATAATGGCCATGAAGTACTCACAACAGTGTCTGGCACTATTTGAGCAAGAACTGATGAAGCCACAGCTAGAATTAGAATTAGGTGCATGAAGGCCTGGGGTGGGGTGCAGCTCAGAGGTAGAGCATTTGCCTAGCGTGTGTGAGGCCCCAAGTTCTAGCCCCAGCATGAACACACACACACACACACACGCGTGCACACACATAGTACATGCAAAGAAATGACATTTCCAGACTATAGTGCCAGATTCTGTGCTAGGTATGCCCAGTGAGTTATTTTATTTAATCCACAAGACAACCAAAGAGGAGCATGTCCTCTGTGGGTCTCTGGGTGACAAGGGTCGGTGAGAATTTTGATCACAGGCTTCCCACAAACCACAGCTGTGCCAGCACCTACCTTTTGTGGTCCCATTGAGCGCTGAGGTCCCTGTGAGCCCAATCCACCACTCTCTGTCCTGGGAGAGGTGCTGCTGCAGAAAGTGCTGCATACTTTCATCTCGAATGAAGACCAAATGGCCTCCTTGGCCTTCACACCAGCTCTGGGCATTGCGGAAGGTGCGTCTGAGTGGTACAAGTTCATAGCAAGCCTCTCTGAAGGCTACCTGGCTCTTAGAACAAAAGCTGTCATCTTCTGGCCAAGCAATGACAGCCCTAAGCCTCAGGGAAAGCCCCAGGAGTACCAAGCCTGCCGCGCATCCTGGGACCACCGCTGGAACCACTGGATGGAGCTCGCTCTTGGGCTTTCATATCCTGGTGCCTTTCCAATCCTCTGCCATCCATCTTCCCATCTCCCTTTGAATCGAAAAATAGCAACTGCTTTTTGTTTCAGAAACAAAAGCCTCGGGGTGAATGTGCCTGCATTTTGGCTTTGCCCACTCCTGTCCTGCACGACTGTCACAGAGCTGATTAGTTCACCGGGGCCTTAGAGAAAGATAAAGCAGCTGTGTCATCTACTTGTCATCTGGTCAACTGTTTGTGTTTGATAAAAATGCCTTGCTATTGATTTTATGCCACTACCCAAGGACCAAATGTTTCAGAAGAAGCCAATGGCGCATGGAAGCCAGTGATAAAAGAGAACAGGAGGAAAGTTAGAGTTATGGGATGATGAAGAGACAGAGCAGTGCCCATACTCGATCCCATTGTGTAGAATGGCAGCTGGCCCCGTAGATAACCATCCTGTCCTGGTGTGGCTGGAATCCGAACGGACAGCGGGGCCCCTCTCATTCATCACTTTATCACTCAGGCCTGCTGGAGAAAAAAAAAGCCCCACAAATTGATTGATGTCACCATGAAAAGGAACTTTCTTTCAAAACTCAGGCCTGTCCACCTTCACCCACTACCCAGCCCCTCCGAGGTGTTTCTAGGCTCGACGGATCAAATACAACTTCTTAGCATTGTGCGCAAGGCTCTGCAGAGTCTGGCTCCCTGGCAGTGTTCCCAGACTCATCCCTCAAAGTGCACAGAAGCAGGCCCTCCCGCTCCTTGCCAATGGGAGTGTGGCCTGGTACAGGATGGGCGCTGTGACAATAACCGTCCGCATGCAAAAAGCACAAACTGGGATGTCACAGTTCCACTTCGGGGAATTTCACCCTCATTTAAATGTATGCATGTACGAAATATCACATGTTAAGGGTTACTCACTACAAAACTTTATGGGAAGAAAAATTAGAAATAACCCAAATGTACACTGATAAACTGACTAACAAAGTGGGGTACCTCCTAGGAATCCATTAAAAACAAGCAAATCCTTCCCATAGAGATTTGGAAGCATCTCTAAGATTCCTGTTAGTGTTAACAGCAAAGCGTGAGACGTTGCGTACGGTCAACTCCATTTGTATGAAAACATACACAAACATGCCTTCATATGTGTTGGTGTATCTTGTAAAGAGCATGCAAGAACCCGGCCATAGTGATCACCTGGGAGGAAACTGGGTACCCAGGAGGAGAGAGGGAGACTTTTATTTCTGTGGCCATCTTTTGCAACTTTTCTGTTTTGTACCCCATGAAAGTATCACTTGTTGTAAAATAATAAATTCTCTAAAAAACTCCACAAGCTCAGATCATAGCTCTTCCCATTGTCAGACCACCTGGCTGTGACCCTCCTTCACATGGCTATGCATTCATTTTTCTGTCCTTTCCCAGGGACATCCTTGCCCCCAGCCTCTCCCTGACCTTTAAGGCTTAGCTCAGAAACCACTTCCTCTGTGAGCTTTGTAGATCTTGCCTCTTTGTCTCTCTCCCCTGTGAGTTTCCTCGTTCCTTTCTTAGTAATAGCTTTATTAAGATATAGTTCACATGCCATTTTATTAGTTCACTTAAAACATTGGGTGTGCCCCAGGAATTTAGCTCAGTGGCACCGCGCCTGCCTCACAAGTCCAAGGTCCTGAGTTCGATCCCCTGTACACACACACACACAAACCTTGGGTTTGGTAGGCATGGCGGTGCTTGCCTGTAATCCCAACACTCGGGAGGCTGAGGCAGGAGGATCGCTGAAAGTTTGAGGCCAGCCTGGGCTACATAGTGAGTTCAAGGTCATCCTGAACTGCATAGTGAGGCCTTTTGTCTCTAAATAAATAAATAATGAATAAAGCATTCAGCTCAGTGGCTTTTGGTATGTTCACAAGATTGTGCAACCATTGCTGTGATCAGTTCTGGAACATTTTCATGACCTCCAAAGGAAACCCTGTACTCTCTGAGCGGCCAGTCCCCTTCTGCTCATCTCCTGACAAATGGGTCATTACTTTCTGTTCGGTGGGGCACTCCCTGCAAGTTTACTGAATAAAAGTTTTAGGAAGGGTTTTACAGAATTAACATATCTGTCCTTGGGGGTCTTTGATTGCCTGCCTGAATGATGTTTGTTCATGAGAACTTTCAGACTTAGTTAAATTCGGCCAATTGCTGTGTGACTTTAATGGTGGGGAAATTATTTCAACCCCCAGTACTAGAGCTCCTCTAGAGAAGAGAATATTTTTTTCAGAAAAGAAACTCCTGCATAGGCTCTCTGGGTCAGAATAAGGGACACATAAAGGATGTGGCTTAACAGCCAATCAACACTCAAGCTGCAAAAAAGGATCGATAAGAAGTTTTTAATCTCCGGGAAATCTGTTTGCATCTGTTTTATGGATTCCATTTGTTTCCTATGTTGGGATTCCATCATGTTCCTCAGATCTTCTGGTTTTTTATCTGTGTCCTCTCTAGATTTATTAATCATGTCTTGCACCATAAGCACAATCTTTGCTGTTATCTTAGTAATTATTTCTGATTTCATTTTTCCCAGATCCTCTTTTGTTGCCAGTTCAGACAGTCCAGGTGGTTGAGTATCAGATTATTCCATCTCATTTCCCTTTGGGGTTGCTGTAGGTGATCTGGAAGTCTGTTTCTGAGGCTTGTTTAAGTGTCTTTTCATTTCCACGGCGGGAGGGGAGGGTGCTTCTGGCACCTGCGCGGCTCACCTCCTCTGCCCTAGGAGTGTGGGATGGCAGTGGGGGAGCTTCCTTCTGGGTGCTGGATCAATAAGAAGTTAGTGGTCTGAGATTAGAGATGGAAGCTAGACCCTGAGGCGGGGTCCTGGAGCCTTCTGAATTGGTATCATGAGCAGCTATGGTTTTTTGTTGTTTTAAGACAGGGTCTTGCTAAGTAGTTCAGGCTGGCCTTGAACTCACTATGTAGCCCAGGGTGGCCTCGAACTCTTGGTGATCTTCCTGCCTCAGCCTCCCAGTTCTGGGATTATGGGTGTGCATCACTGTGCCCAGTTTGTGGCCACACTTTAGACAGCACAGATGTCTAATATCTGGTTGAAGTTGTCACTTTATGTCATACCTGACTTGGGTGAGACCCTCTCAGGAAACGTGCCATCCTCAACACACAGCAGGAGCCCACTAACGGGCCATGCCGCCCTGTTCTGTAAACAGAACAGATGGCCATAGAGACAATGTAGGATAAGACATGCCATCTCCCTGGCACTGAGCAGCCCAATATTATCTACACCTGCACCAATCGTCCTGGAAAACTTGGCCACAGCCTTCCACTCCAAATTCCTGAAGTCAGCACCTCCCTTCCCAAACCCTGTAGAACTTCACTTCTTCTCCAGCAAATTGCTGACATCTTTCTCCATCTCAGCCTGTCCACCTGGGCAAGTAAGCCAGCCTTGTTGCTCACACAAAGCCTGTATCTGAGTCTCCTCTCATGCGCCATAGGTCACACTTTGCTCTGACATAGTTTTTCTGTGCCCTGGTTTTTTTGTGCTTCCCGATTCCCCTCCCCAGGGCCTGGCAATCATGAAGTTATTTTCTGTCCCCATGGATCTGAATATCCTGGATATCTTATTCAATTTGTATCATTTTGTGTTTGGCTTCTTTCACTTAGCATCATGCCTTCAAGAGTGTAAGGAATACTTCATTCCTTTACGTGGCTCAGTAACGCCCATTCCATGGAGAGACCGCATGTTGCTTCTCCATCCTCAGAGGGCAGCATGTGAGTGATTTTCTTCCTGAGTTTGGGGGCAACATCACTTTGTCCCCTCCTGGCTCAGAGCAGGGTTCCATGAACGCGCTGGCGTGGCCCCCTCTCCCGGGTCCCTGGCCTGACTTCAGCCTCACCTTTCCTAGATGCCCCACCCAGCCCTCTGCAGCGGCAGAGGGACAGGACCAGCATCCACTGTCACCACTGACTCACAGGCTGGGACACAGGCTGGGCAGAGCTGGCCTGTTATCTCCAGGGGCCAAACTTTAATGACTTCCATTAGGAAACTATGTGGAAGGCCCCACACTGTGATAATCTATCTCCTGGGCACTGGCTTTGTTTATGTCCCTACTGGAACATGTCTGGAGACACTTGATAACAAAGTAGATCTGCAGGCTAAATTCCATTTTCGCATTCTGATAAAAATTGCAGGCTCCTTGGGTGGGGAATTCGTCTTGGTGATGTCAGTTTCTGATGTCCCTTAACCTTTGTGTCCATGAGGCTTACATGGAAAGTGAGCAGGACAGAACCAGCTCAATGTGCACGAGTTTCCAACCATCTGACCCAGCCACAGCCTCCACTGGGGTTGGCAGTGTAAAAACAAAAAGATGGCGAGTTTGGCTTCAGTAGGGCCTTAAAGACCAGCTCCCTCGATGAATGTACTCATTATGGACTGCAAACATGCACTGGTACAAATTTTTAAAAAGGAATTCTCATGGATTCTCCCACTGCCCTAACACATTTCCAGTTTCTTGTGGTTCCTTGCACAACTGCTCCCCAGGAGACAGGTGCTGCCGGCACAGAGGTGGGGATGTGGTTGGTTCACACCACCCCACTTTCCACTCGCCAGAAGACTCCACGCCTCCTCTGCGGTGCCAGCTGGCTCAACATCGCTGCATGGCGCCTGGCCTCTTCACCAAACGCACATGCACTGTGCAAGTCCCACGTTTCTGTGCCTGTCACACGGGCTCTGCACATCCGTTTTCCCGCCATGTGGCTTTGTTACACAATCACCCCTGCTGTGAAGGCCTTCCTTCATACTGTGTAGCAGACACCCCAGTACCCCCACCCAGCCTTAGCTGAGGGCCTCTAAATGCTAGCTCCCTCCAGGGTAATGGGTCTGAGAAGCTATTCTTCCTGTCCCACCATCATTTCCATGCATCATAAGTAACATCCCATGCATATTATTTGTAACATCAAAATGTCTCCTTGTCATTACTCTTGTTGTCATGAACTGCCTGGTTTGCTTGTTTCCCCACGCTTCTGCTGGTATCTCCTGGCTTCACCTCCCAAATGACTCTTTTCATCCCAGTGCTCATCTTGGGGCTGCTTCTTGGGGACCCCCCGCATACACAGGTATATCCAGAGCTGGGATAACTGGACCACGGGGCAAGAGCAGCTCTGTGATTCTTTCCATGGACACCATGCCCTAGTCAAGTGACATCAATTGCCCTTCTATTGGTTCTGTTGCAGGACCCACCTGAAGCCTCCAACTTTCAGACCCAGGCCTGGGAGTGAGCAGCTCTAGGTGCCTTCCTGATGGTTTCCTTCTCACCCTTGGGAACCATGTCTCAGAAGCAGCTGGTAAGCTCAGTCCCTGGAAAGGTGAGCAGAATCCTCTTGATGCTAAATATCCATGTGCAGGTGAGCCTAGGGTTGCTCATGCACACTCACTGTGTTGTTTTTATGGGGTGGCTGATAATGTGGACCTTGAGGGACTTGCAGAGTGGGAGGGGTGGACGCTGGGGGCAGGGGAGCTTGAAGAAAGGGTGTCTCAGGGAGAGGTCAGAATGCCAAAGCCTGGCCTCGGGCAGAACCCCATCAACTACTATCACCCCAGTTCTCTGCCACTGGGAGCTCTGCCACTCCTGGTTCCACCTCTGCCCATGTTTGCAGTACGTAATGTTTACATTCATCTTAGGGGTGGGTACGTATGCTTACCATACCTTAATTCTCTTTATTCCCCTTCCTTTCTTCTCCCTCCTTGCATCTCTGGATCCACTTCCCATTTTCAAAGGATCTATCTTTGTTTCCTGTTGCCTGTCTTTCTTGCTATTTTTAAAAAACGACTTATACTCTGGGTTTACCATATAAGAGAAGTTATGCGGTATTTGAGCTCCTGCGTCTCATTTATTTACTTCACATTAGGGCCTCAAAGCGCCTCCATTTCCTACAGATGCCTTCCTACTGTCTTTCTTTTCACCTTACTTATATTTTGAGGTTCTCTTTTAAGAGAAACCATGCGATATTTAAGCCTCTGGGTGGGTCTGATTTAGTTTACTAATATTCTGGTCTCCAGGGGCATCTGTTTTCCGACAAATGACTCAAGTTTATCCTTCTCTATGATAGAGTAATACTCCGTTGTGTATAAATACCACATTTTCTTTATCCATTCCCCTGTTGATAGACATACAGGGCATTTCCAAGATTTAGCCACTGTGAATTGTGCTGCTATAAGCATGGATACACATGTATCACTATAATGCAATGCCACTAACTCTTTTGCAAAGATGCCTAGAAGGGGAATAGCTGGGTCAAGTGGAATAGTTTGGGTTTTTTTGAGGAATCTCCACGCCGATTTCCATAGTGATTATGCTAGTTTCCATTCTCACCAATGATGTAGAAGGGCTCCTTTCCCCCTTGCACCCTCTCCAGTGTGTTCCTCTTCGACATCTTGGTGATGGCCATTCTTTTTGAGGTAAGATGGCATCTCCATGTTGTTTCAATTTGCAGTTCTCTGATGACCATCAAAGTTGAGTATTTTTTCATGTATTTATTGGCCAATTGTACTTCTTCCGAGAAGTGTCTGTTCACTTCATTTGCCCATTTTTTGATTGGGTCCTTTATTGGGGGGGTCTGGCTTTTTTGAGTTATTTGTAGACTCTAGATATTAGACCTCTGTCAGAGGAGTAGCTGGCAAATTATTTCCCATTCTGTCCACCTTCACTTTTGAAATTCTGTTTCCTCTACCGAGATTACTTGTCTTCCACACTTGCTCATGTGCTTACACTCTTTTTCCAGAATAGCTTACACGTCAACCTGTTCTCCAAAGCCTTCTCACGTCTAACAGGACCTAACTGTCACATCGTCTCTCTCCTCAAAGCAGTTCAATCTACTTCTGTCTTAACAATCTAAAGGTAACAGCAAGCTTAAAAAAAAAAAAGAATAAGAGAAGAGTACAAAAGGAACTACAAGAACTTGGCTGTAAAAATACTTTTACTTCTGGACTTCTCCCTTCCCATGTTTGAAATCATTTTGCTTACCGACTATTGTAGGTTGAAATGTGTCTCTCAGGAAGATCTGCTGAAGTCCTACTCCCTGGTGCTTTGACTGTGACCTTACGTGGGATTTGACAGGTGTGGTCCAGCTCAGATGAGGTCACCGGGGAGTAAAATGGGCCTGATCCAGTGACTGGTGTTTGGAAAGGAAAGGGAAATTGTGACACACAGAATGGAGACACAGAGTGAAGAGCAGTGTGTAGAAACTGAGTGTGGACAAACCCCGGAGTGCCAAGGGTCGTGAGCCAGCAGCAGAAGCCGGAAGAGTCACAATGGACCCACCACCCCGGAGATCATGGCCCCTCTAATGCCTGGATTTTGGACTTCTGGCCCCACTGAGAATAAACTGCTGCTTGAAGGCACCTGGTGTGAGGTACTTTGCTATGGCAACCGGAGACAGTAATATGATTAGTCACGAGCCAGGCAGTCACTGCTTGTCCACTCACGGCCTATGTGTTGAACACCTGCTACGAACCGGGCACTACTAAGCTTTGGGTTGTAAATGGGAGACAGACATGAAGAGGTGGGAGTTTCCGCCAGTTTCAGCTGGTGGCCGGCAGCAGGGAAGCTGGAGGGGCAGGACCAGAGGTAGGGTGACCCATGAGTGCAGACGCTGCCTCTGAAAGGACATGGGCTGAAAGAGAAGAACATCTCATCGGTTATTTAGGAGGCAGAGCTGTCAGGACTATCAAACAGGGTATAAGCTGAAAGTAGTTTTTGAAATTGAATTTTTTTCTAGGATCATCACCTGGACTCTAAAGTACATGATGGAAAGTGGAAGTTTCCCGTCTCGGGCACTAGAAGCCATTTCCTTTAGTACCAGGAATGCCCACTGTGCTCCAACCTGGTCAGTTCTTCCTCCTGGGCAGGGCATAGTGTTTTATAAATCCTAGCACTTTCATTAGGACTTGCCTGGGCAGCTCCCTCCTTAGACTTTGAGCCCATTGAGAGCAGAATCTTCGGTCTCCTGTCCTACTGTCACAGTGCTCAGCAGGTCAAGGACTCCTCTTACAGGTTAGTGGCAGTCACAGTCCTTTGCTCGGTGGCGGTTTCCCCCAGGAGCCCGAGGACGCTGTCTGGCCACCATTGCTGCTGTCCCCTGATGGGGCAACTGCCAACTCTGTGGGGACTTTGCCTGCTACCTTGAACCCCGCTATCTGTGATACCCTCATTATCTGCTCAGCTTATCATGCTGGCTAATTAAAGGCATCATTTTAGAGGCTAACTTAATTGGAAAATTGCAAAGTAATTTAGATATGATAACATGATCTCCAAAAGGGAAATATTAACTTTGTAACAAGAGATACAGAATTGCAAAATAAGGCCATCGGGGTTTTTATAGTGTGTGCATATACACACACTCTCTCTCACACACACAGAGACTTTATTTCTTAACTTCATGATTGCTTGACATCATAAAAGGGCAGCCACCTCCCCTATCCCTGGCCCAGATTTCCCAGGTCCAAGGATCCCATGGTCAAACCTTCCACCCTGCCACACATGGTGCAACCTTGGCCCAAGGCATGAGTTTGCCAAGCCTCAGTGACTTCTTCCATGAGTCGGGGACAACAGCTGCTTCTGTAGGAAGAGCAGAGACAGCACAGATGCCCAGAGCAGGCACACACGCTGAGTGCCAGCTGCCTCCCTTCCTCTGTCAGCCCCAAGGTTAACGTTCTTCCTCTTCCCAGAAGAAGGCAAAGGCTTCCGGTGGGGGTCCCAGACCCTCCCAGGGGGGACAGGGGTACTACAGCTGAGCCTCCCACACCCAGCAGATCCCATGCTGCCATCTGTGGATGGCTACTGAGGTGGCACAGCCAACTTGCACAAATGTGTGGCATGGGAGAGAGCCCGTGAGGGCCCCCAGCCCGGAAGGGCCTGTTAGGCCAGGCTCTGGCCAGTACCTCCCTCTTCTCCCTCTGTTCTGTTCTCCTCTCAGCAACAGGAACCTCTGCTCCCCACACCTGTGACAACTCCCCTTTTCCCTCCCACTGTCTTCTGGCTCCTCCTCACCTTCCCACTCAGCCCGACACAAAGCCTTCTCCCTTCCAGAGCCCAGAGCCCCTGCCCAGCCACGCTCATCAGCGGGTCCCTCCTCCCACCTTCTCGTGCCCAGCGCCCAGGGCCCCTCCAGGTCTTGGCTCAAGCACTGACTCACAGGCCGCCCACTGTGACGTCCAATGTCCTCACTGTGCGCCTCCGCCTTGGAGGACTTCCTGCTGCTTCCTCTGTTGCCACGGGGCTGTTGCCCATGATGTAGACCTGCTCCTGCTGGACGGGGGTGGCCACGCATGTGGAGCAGATGGACAGAAGGGCGAATGAACGTGGGGCTCATTCACACTCTACCCTCTCTGACCCTGAGCCCTGGGCATCCAGTCACAGCGCCTCTGTCCCTTCAGCTGTGTGAAATGCCATCTTAGCAGCTCTCAGGCTGGCTGGGCACTGTCCACAGAAGTGTCTGGAAATGTTCGGTGCACGTGCTGTCCAACATGGTAGCCACAGAGCCCTCGCAGTATGGTCAGTGTGAGCCAGGAACCGACCTTAATTTCACTGCTGTTAATTTATATTTTAATTAAAATGACCGCATGTGGCTGCTGTGTGGGACAGCACAGCTCAGCTGTCACATGGCACCTGCCCTGCATGCTGTCTCCTGAATTAGGACTCCGTGGGCTGTGGTCTTTCTTTTCTCTGTCTGTCTGTCTGTCTGTCTCTCTCTCTCTCTCCTTCCTTCTTTCTTTCCTTCCTTCTTTCTTTCTTTTTTTCTTTCTTTGGGCAGAACTGGTCATTGAACCTAGGGCCTTCCACTGAGCTACATCTACAGCCCTTTTAATTTTCTCTTGTTAAGTTGCCCAGGCTGGGCTTGAACTTGTGACCCTCCTGCTTCAGCCTCCCAGAGTCCCGGGGTGACAGGCTTGCACCCCCACACCTGGCTGCCTACAGTGCTTCTTATAAACCCTACACAATCTGGTCCCTGAATTGCTTTCCGCCCCATCACAGAAGGGGAGAAGAGCAGCGGTGGCCAGGCTGCCTTGCTTCGAAGCCCACTCTAGGGGGTGCAGCAAGCTAATGCCTGGGTCCCTTGATTTCCTCATCTGCAAAATGGGGCTAAAACACAGAGCTCAGGGTTACGTGAGGAAGACTCAGGCTATGGTGTGAGAGGCTTAGGAGAGCACAGCTCACACAGGAGGCCTGCACAGTGTGGGCCGTAACCATGGCCATTCTGGGCTGCATCCCTCGGGGCCGGCCTCCTGCTGTCCCCCGGGAGTGCCTCATGTCACACCATCTTTCTTCCTGCAAGGGCGGTCCCTTGTCTCTGCCTGTCCAAGTACTTCTCGCTCTCCTGGGCCCGGCCGTGCCCTGGCCCGCTGGGAGGCCTTCCTTTCCTACCCACAGGTGAGCAGCTCCCCTCCTCAGGTGGCCCAGGTCCCTGCCTTCCTGGGCTGCTGAAAGATCCGTGGGTTTTTCCTCCTAGGTAATAAAACATTTTTCATTAGAGTAAGAAACATAGGCATTAATCCCCTCTAAATACTCCATCTCACTTTAACGTACTTGTTTTTTTGGTTTTGAGACAGGGTCTCGCTCTGTAGTCCAAGCTGGCCCAGAACTTACAGTACAGCCCAGGCTGACCTCAAATTCATGGTGATCCTCCTACGTCAGCCTCCCAAGTGCTAGGATTATAGGCGTGTGCCACACTTTGAACACACTTATCCCATCATTCTTACCACTTTCAGAAGAACTTCTGGAAGTCCTCTTTTGTGAGTGCCTGTAGTTCCACTGTCCTAGATGCCCCAATGTCCTGAATCAATTCAAAACATTGATCTTTCATGGTCATTTTGTTTTTGTTTTTGTTTTTTTTTGGTACCAGGGATTGAACTCGGGTCCTTAGCTTTCAAGGCAGGTGGTAGAACCACTGAGCTAAATCCCTGGCCCTTTCATGGTCATTTTGACTTTGAGGAAGAGCTAGAAGTCACACAGTGACAGAGCCAGTGAATAAGGTGGATGAGGACAAACTGTGATGTTTTTATGAGCTTGCCTTTCTGCTGGATGGCACTCAGCAGCAGCATTCACTCTGTTTTTGATCACATCTCCTAAAGACACTCATGAAAGAGCACTTCCAGAACTGCTGCAGGAAGTGGCGAGAATGATGGGCTAAGTATGTTTGAAGTGAGGGCCAGGATTCTGGGGGATGGTCAGCAATTTGTCTTTTATTATAATAAAATTTTTAAATTTAAACACCACATACTTTGATCACTCCTTGTATCATAATTGCAAGTTTAATGTAGTTTTGGGGTTTGGGGGGGGTACTGGGTACAGTGCCCAGTGAAGAGTAGTTCCAGCAGCCAGGGAAGCACAGGCAGGGGACAGTTCCTTCGGGGGACAAGTTCGCATCCCGCTCCTCCCAGAGAGGTGCAGACACAAGATAGAGGGCCAGAGCCATGCACAGGCTCCCTGTGAACTCTGTGTAGAGAGGGAGGACACACTCACCACATAAAGGCGTCCGAGGACCCCACAGGCAGGACCCAGCACCTTTGGGAAATGAACACCCAGCCAGGGCTCCCGGACAAAAAGACCATCCTGGGAGCCCAGGAGGGCAGAGGTGGGTCTCACTGTCACTTCCGTGTCCCCAGAACTTGGTACACCGTGAGTGTCAGATCTAAGATGGCACAGAATTGCTCTCCAGCATAGTAGGTGCTCAGAAGGTCCGTGTTGAATGAATGGATGATGTTGGATGTTGAAAGTGGGCGGTTGTCGCATGGCCTGTAGTGACACTGCCCGTTACCTATCCAGGCCGTACTTTTCTGTTCCCTCCAGTGTGAAATCCTGATTTGGGCAGCAACTGTGCTGCCTGGGATTGGTCCAAGTGGTCACAGTCCAGCCAACGGGGCTGCAGAAAACCTTCTCAGGCATGGAGTGACTTTCCTCCGGCGTAACATAGAGCCTGGAGCGAAGGCATCGTCTCTAACCAAACATGACAGCCCAAGGACAGGAAGACAATCTCTGAGTGTAGCAGCAGGAAGGTGGAAATGGGCACCAGCAGGGAATGACCTCGGCGAGCATCCAAGGGCCCCAGGGCTCCAGGCTTAGGGTGACTGGATGAGCCAGACATACAGGGCTGCTGCCTGTGGTCCTCTCCCCGTCCCCTCAAAGGGACATCATTGTGGACTGGACTCTGTCCCTTGGAATTATTTATGTCAAAGTTCTAACCTCCAGACCCCAGAAGGCGACTAGAAATGGAGTCTTTTACAGGGAGATTTTACAGGCAGATTCAGTTAGAACGAGCACACTGGGATAGCCCCGATCCAGTGTGACTGGTCCGCATAAGGAAAGGAAATGTGGATGCAGAGAGACATCAGAGGACAGCCAGGGAAGGGGCCCAGCGGAAGCCCTCGGGAGAAACCTAACCTGCCAACACCTTGATTGATTGATTCATTGACAGACAATTGCAGTACTGAGGAGTTGAACCCAGGGCCTTCACACTGAGCTACATCTCCAGCTCCCTTCACACTTAAAAAAAATTTAATTTAGAGACAGTCTCAGAAGACTAATTCAGATATCTGTTGTTATGATCAATTAATTATCACCATTATTTAAAAATAAATAAGCCTTTGTCTCACCATGTGATTGTCCCTGGAGCTTGGGAGCTAGACAACACAGCTTGTCCCCAGTGTTATGAACAATGCCACACCAGCCCTGCCAGGCCTTCGTGGTGCCCAACCCCAGCGGCGTAGCTGCCCATTTCTTCACTCAGCATAAATCCAGCCAATACCCATCGTGCACCGGGGCTGCACCTGCCTAATTCCTAATTCCTCCTCTTAGTTGCTGTGTTTCCTGGGCGAGCTGGTTAGGTCCTCTGATTCCTTCATCTCCTCCATGGTGCTAGGAATATGCACGCACAGGGTTGCATCAGGTGGGAGCGAGCCAGGACATGTAGGGCTCTGCAGGAACTTGACTCATGGAAAGTGCTTCAAGGATGGAGCCAGTCGCTTTTCTGAACTTATAAAGAGGGACAAGGAAGAACAGCACAGTCATGTTCTCACTTGCATAGTTCATGGTCACCTTCCTGAGGCCAGGTGTGTGCCAGACATTCTCATTCCACCTTCATGAGCTGGGACTGAGTGGCCCTGCCGTGAGTACTCGTGCTCAGGGCGGCCGGTGTGACGTCAAGACACACAAATATTGGGGCACCCCAGGACTGTCTGGTATTGACAGTCATCATTTCACCCTCTGGACAGGCCAGGAAATTGAACTGAAGTTGCTTTTTACCATTCTCCTGGAGAAGAGTCTGGTTCCGTCTTTACTTTTTAAATGGGTGCATGACACATTTTTGTTGCCTTCTTCCAAAAAGAAGATATTGAACTAAATTGCTCTTTCCAGGTGATTTTTAGGAGGGAAAATCAAGGCCCACTGGTAAAAGCAAATCCAAGGAAAACCTTCTCCATCTGTGGGGCAGCCTCACTCCGAATGCACCAGTGTGACTCAGCTCCCCTACTTTGTGGCTGCTTCCCTCGTCCTGAGGGTTTCTCTGATTATCAGCACCTCTAGCTCTCAGCTAACTAAGCACGACAGGCCCAGTTCTCTCCAACGCTTGAAAATGAGCTTTCCTTGGTTAAGCCAAAAGTGAAAGTGGAGAGAATGGAGGGTAGCTAAGGGGATTAAAGATTAGCCAGGACACGTGCTTCGGAAATTGCCCTTTGACCGAGCAGCATAGAGATAAATAAGGCCAGGCAGCAGCTGGAGTGGTGGAAAGTGGGTGGACATGTGAAGGAGGGAGGGCAAGGCGCTCTTCAGAGCGACAGACAAGCCAGTCCTGGAGAGTGTCCGTCACGCCCTGCAGGCCCCATGGACGTCCTATTCGGCAGGAACAAGAAAGAGCAGCTGGAGCCTGTGCAGGCCCAAGTGACAGGTGAGCGTTCTGCAGAAAAGACTGGCTCTTCTTACACTGAGATGGACATCTTTCTTCTTTTTTGTAAATTGTTTTCGGGAAATGTGGAAAACAGCCTATAGGGTAAAATGACACCGAGTCCAGACACATTGTCTGTGCTGATCCGGGCGTAGTTTCTGAGAAGAGAAAGGGAGTCATCCTGAGGATTCCAGGAGCAGTGTTGAGCATGCCCAATGCCTGATGAATTGCAATGGATGCATCCTGAATTCGCCCCAGAGTGCCTGAACAGCGGCTGTCGTGCTCCCCCCATGCCACAGTGTGACTCGGCGTGTTGTCACTGCCGAGCCCGAGGAGACCAATCTGCCTGGCCTTGTGGTTTGTTCCCTTCCTCTGCGTCCTTCTCTCCTCCTTCCCTTTCAGGTACCACGTTGCTGGGGCCTCTTGTACTGGCGGGGCTGAAAGCAGCCGCCGGTCAGCCGCTGGTCAGCTAGGTGGGTTGGGGATGTTTGTCACCAGCAGAGGACGATAGTGAAGCCTTTTATGTCTATTTTTCCTGATTACAAAGATAAGATTCAATCCATAACTCTATATATGTGTGTAGATGTACAGTAGGTCTATAAAATCTGGGAGTATAAATTAGGATATATAAGGAAATAAGCTGTATTTCTGTCTCATAAGCACTAGTCTTTTCCTTTCTTTTCTTTCCTCGCAGTACTGTACTGGGGCCTTCACACTGAGCAACATTCCCAGCAGGTTTTTTGAGACTGGGTCTCACTGAGTCACCCAGACTGGTCTTTAACGTGTGATCCTCCTGCCTCAGCCTCCAGAGTTCTGGGATGACAGGTGTGAGTCACCATACCTGGCTACAGACCATTTTAGAACAGTGCTTTCTGCCCATAGCAGGCCACATAGGTACCTCTAAATTTTCTAGTAGACACATTCAAAAGGTAAAAAGAAATACTCAAAATAAACTTTTTAATTTTTATTTTTGATAAATTTTAATAGTGTCATTTAAGACAACATGAAGTTACTATAACACATTGTGAATGACGTTTTTCTTTTTTTCATTCAGAGTCTTTGAAATCCAGTGTGTTGCATCCTGTCAGGACTCTGTAACTCAGGCCAGCCACCTTGACTACTCCATTGCCCCATGGGGCTGGTGGCAGCCATACTGGACAGTTCTAGAATGCTCTTTCTTATGTCTGTGTGAGGCTTATTCCCAGCTGGCGCCCCAGGAGCTGGTACGCCTTCCTGCTCTCCTCCCTGTGGAGGTTCTGTACCCCCTTTTAAACTTTTGAGACAAGGTCTCACTAAGGTGTCCAGGCTGGCCTTGAACTTGTGACCCTCCTGCCTCAGCCTCCTGAGTAGCTGGGATCACAGGTGTGCGCCACAGTGCCTGACAGTCATGCCCTTTCTAGAAGTGGCTGGAACACATGAAGAGATGCCACGAGGAGAGTCGGGGCTCTCTCGCCTCAGTTCCCTCCTGGGGCCACTCCTTCGAGCTGTTTGGTTGGGACGTGGAAAACAGCATCTAAACATTCTTTCTTCTGCCAGGCAGGATTCCTCCCTGGCTCCAGGGGACCCTGCTTCGCAATGGGCCTGGGATGCACACGGTGGGTGACAGCAGATACAACCACTGGTTCGATGGCCTGGCCCTGCTACACAGCTTCACCATCAGGGACGGTGAGTGCTCTCTGACGGCGCACACGCTGATCCCTTCCTGATCCGGAGGCCGGAAGTCTGCGCTGGGCCTCGAGGAGGGCCGGGCGGAAGTCTCCCAGGGGCGCTGGAGGAGAAGCCACGCCCTCGCCTTCCCGCCACTTGTGGCTTGTGGCTCCATCTCTGCCTTCAAAACCAACAGCAAGGGATTCTGCAGCCCTGCAGTCTCAGTCTGTCTCTCTCTGCTTCCTGTTTTCCCTTCTCTCCAATGTCACAACTCTGTGACTCTGACTTCCCTGCCTGCCTCTTTTTTTTTTCTTTTTGAGACAAAGTCTCACTATGCAGTCCAGGCTGGCCTTGAACTCACTAAGTAGCCCAGGCAGGCTGGCCTCTAACTCATGGCGATCCTCCTGCCTCCGCTTCCCGAGTGCTGGGATGACAGACATGTTCCACTGTGCCTGGCTTCCTGCTTTCCTCTTACAAGGATTACAAGATAACCCTCATCTCAAAATTTTTAATTAACCACGTCTACCAAATCCCTCCGCTACGTCAGGTAACAGATTTCCGGATTCCTGGGATTAGGACTCGGACATCTTGGGGATGGAGGGCAGCATTCAGCCCTCCACCAACTCGAGCTTCTCTGGGATAGCGGCCAGGTGCCCTTTCCCGGTTATCTTGCAAAGTATCAAGCATTCTTAATAAGGCAGGCAAGAGCACGTGGGCCGTACAGGCTTTGACTCAGACGTGCATCAGAACAAGACCGGAAGCGAGCGTTTCTAGAGTCCCAGCAGCTGTTCCAATTCACGTGCATTGTAAAAGGTATCCTGACAGATCGGTCTTCTTCATAACCTGAATTGTCAGGAAAAACGGGAAAGGGGAGAATTATACCCTGCCCCCCGCCCTTCCGCTCTCCCCCCACCCCCCGCCCCCGCGTCTGGGGGTGCACGGCTTCCCTACAGAGCAATGTCGGCTGCCAGGCTGCAGCACAGGGGGCTCCCTGAGCACTGGTTGGTGGAAAGGGCCATAGCTTCCCAACTGCACCCTTCAGTATTTGCTACAGTTTACTGGGTGCTACCTCCCCAGCCACAGGTCAACCCTCTGGAAAAAGGCACCACTGTGTACAGATGAGGGGTCAAGGCCGAGAGAGGCCAAGTACTTGCCCAAATGCACAGTGCTAGGGTGTTTTATTTAATTTTTAATTTATTTATTTATTCTTAAATTCTTTCATTGGTACATTTTAGGTATGCGATACGATTACATTTATCATTGGGTGCTTGTACCTGTACACGATGCATCTTGGTTCTTATTTTTTCCCCATTCCCTGTGCGCCCTTCACCCCCTCCACCCTTCCCTATTTACATAGACTTCATTTCCTTTTTTTTTTTCTTTCTCATAATTTTTCCTTTCCCTTCCTTTCCCCTTCCCCTCCCACCACCCCTGCACCTTTGGACCTTTTCCTATTTCAGATTATCAATTATTCATTTTAATCATTTTCATCCTTATTTACACTTTCAGTTTCTCACACTAGAGAAACTATTCGGTATTTACACATGTGTGTCCTATTTATTT